ACATGACGGACATTAGTTTAAATCGAGGACAAATACATTGAAATCTTTATCATGTGATATATTTGTATACAATTGAAAAATGAATGTTTTTAATATTATTACATTGTGATAAGAATTGAATTATGTCGAGTAATAATAATATTTTACTATATATTATCAGATAATATTATTTAGTTAAATATTGATTAAAGTTATATGCAAATTAAATATAAATAGTGAGATTTTCAATATTAATATTTTAAAATACCTATATTTCAGAGAAAGATAACTTCTACAAAATCAGTACGATTGAAGAAAAACTGCAACTACTGTACAGCAGAAATCAATTAACGATTTGCAAAGAAAAATGCGCATAAATTGAAGAAATACCAGCAAATTCAATTTTATTGCGAGAAGCAGCCGGCTCCTTTTCTAATTTAGGTTGACAGGGATATGATCAGTGTTGTACACAGCCACACAGGGTTGCAAAACAAATAAATGTAAGTGTAGAAATGCAGCCAGACTATGCAATTTTAAGTGTCATGCTTCTAAATCGTGTGCAAATAAATAAATAGGTAATAATAATATAATAAATTATAATCAAAACAAAATGATAATATTTGATATATTTTTTTTTTGTTATTCCATCAAAATATTTGTAATATTAATATAAAATATGAATATAATTAATTATTGTTTATTCAGTAAATATTATTAGTTGGTAAAAAAAAACATTGTGGTTCAAATTGCTGGTAACATATTATGTACAATTAAATAATTAAATATGGTTTGCCAGTTTATGAAAAAATATAGCATGGGGAGAGTATACAACACCAAAATCCTATCCCTGTAATTACGCCACTGCTAGTTTTAAATTAATGGAGAGAATCCAAAACTTAAAACTCAATTTAAATTATTTGGATTCAGTCTTAATTTAAATAATTGATTAAATGTAATAATCAAATTATCAATACAACTTGAATGATAGAATAACTAAATTTACCTCAATAGTGTCCAAACTAAAGTTTGAATGATAGTAGACAGTTTGGAACTATTCCATTATTTATAAATACTCATTTTTTTTTTTTTTTTTTTTTAATATAAATAATATCTATTTAATTTCTATCATATTAAGTTAAGATATTTAAAAAATATTTAAAATTATAAATAATAATACCATAGTTTCATTTATTGGATATGATGTTTTGTCTGGAAATATACATGTAGATAGACATGACACTACTTTTTTTACAWTGTACTGAAAACTTGTTTCTAGTACGTTGTCATTTATATATATATTTTTGCACTGAAATAAAATTAAAGAACAATATTAATTATTAAGTGTATTTATAAAGTTAAATATATTGCTAGGTAAGATATAATTTATAGGTTTATAGATTTACATACACAACATTTTATATACATTATACTACATTAAATTATATTATAGCTAGGTATGTAAAAAATGTATATGACAAATTGTGAATTCAGAGACCCTCACACAATGATGTTCAATAATATGATCCATTATCGTCTTGAATATGAAAAATAAATGAAATGATAAAATGTTATGTTTTACTATTTATTAATATTGTATTAATATTAAATACTTTGTTATATTTTTAGGTAGTAGCATTCTTTATAAATACTGTAGATTGCTCACTGCAGTACAAAAAGTGYTGCGCTAAATTTACTATATAGAGAATTAGGTGTTGTTATCCAGAACTGAATATATTATCAATTTAAATTTTGAAAAACTAAAATATTTCACTACAATTTAGTGTAATACTAACTAATAACATAATTATTATCAACTTATGAAATTTTTTTCATAAAATAATATTATTATTTTGATACATTGTTAACTTTTTTTTAATTTAATATAAAAACGAACAATGTACCTATCTAATAAAAATAATAAAGTAATTTTTATTGATATTGATATTCAATTTTTAAATAGGCTTTTATTTTATATTTTGTCTCATAGAATTGGTTATTTTATTCTTGGATATTTTGGCATAGATTCATATATCATCATAGGTATTATAGTATTTCCTTAACCTATACAGTATTTTTTTTGATCATAATAAAATAGAAATCATCAAAATTGTTGAGAACACAAAACTCTTTTTTTATTTTTGTCTTAATAGCATATGAGGTGTGTTCAAAAAATAATGGGAATTTTAAAATTGTAYGGGTTGGAGGGTTTTTTTTTGTTTTTTCAAACTTTTTTTTATAATGTTGATATACATACACCTGAAGTATGATATAAGTTTCAGCTATTTTAATTTTTCATGTTGTTTGTGGCAGCCACTAAGGTTAGACGTGTTTTAATGAGCTCGGTGATTTTCATTTGTTAAAAAAGATGGATCAACAAATTTGTATCAAATTTTGAGTAAAAATAAAATAATAAAGTGTAGTAAAGTGTGTGAAATGTTAGTGAAAACCTATGGTGAGTCAGTTATGAGTAAAAATCAATCGTCAATCATCCCAGTGAAGGCAATCTGACTCAACAAGACCGAAAGACTCGACAATTTCGGTCAAATGTGAAGGTGATGCTCACTATGTTCTTCAATTTTAATTGCATAGTGCATCATGAATTCTTACCACAAGGTCAAACGTYAATAAGGAGTACAACCYCCAAGTTCAACGCCGTTTGAGTGAAGCAATTCGAAAAAAACCCCTGGATTTGTGGAAAAACAATTCATGACTTTTGAGCCATAATAATGCACCTGCCCACACTTCTTTGCTTGTTTCTGAATTTTTGGCCAAAAACAGTACTGTAACAATAACACTGCCACTATATTCTCTAGACATGGCTCCGTGAGACTTTTTCCTATTTCCAAAAATAAAGAAAACCTTGAAGGACCGTTGTTTCACAACCATAAATGATATTAAAGCTCATCGCTGAGAGTTAAGGCTATTCCAAAGATAGTTTGAGAAGTGTTTCGAGGATTGGATGAAGTGATGGCATAAGTGCTTAATACATAATGGAGACTATTCTAGAGGCAACAGCATTAATGTAGACGAATAAATAAATTTTTTTTTGCAGAATAAAAATTCCCATTATTTTTTGAACACACCTAGTATATACAACAAAAAACATTATAAAACTAATTTCATAACCTATTAAATTATTTAAATTAAGATTAATTGAGGTTAATGAACATCTCTAATCTGAATAAATTAAAATAAACACAAACAATTATTAAAATAGACAAAAATACAAATCATAGGTAAAAGCTGTCAAATCACTCAAAACAATAACGAAATTTCACAGTTATTGTTCTCAACAATAATGTATATCAATTTGAAGTCTTAACCATTACCACAGTTTAAGCGGTTCTATCCTATGCATTACAATTTTTGATATATTGTACATTTGTAAGACAGGACAACACATGCAAGTGTAGTCCTCACTAAAAATAATTTTTGTTTAATTAATACTAGTAATTAATACTTCCATACACCAAATGCTAAATTGTTTAAGCACTATTGAAAGAGAAAAACACTTGAAAAATTGATATCTCTTAAGTAAATTCTAAAAAAAATATTCGAGGACTCTACATTTGCATATTAGGAGATATTATTAAAAATAATATTTATTATAATAATTAACAACAATAGGTATTTACCTATAGTAAATATATTATTATTAAGTAAAAAACAATTTAAGGCATACCTAWGATTTGTATTTGATTTTTTCTATGATGTTATAGAAATTAAAATTTGTATTAGGTAATAATAATTTGATTATATACCAAAAAATCCAAATTGTTGTCCATATTATGAAACAGACCGCCAACCATAGCCGCCAAGTGTATCACATGGGTAGGTTTATATTTTTCAAATAAATCTCTTGTAGCTTGAACGTCACTGAAAAAATTTGAACAGGAAATAAAATTGTATAAACATCATTATCTGTTATTCACTTGAGATCTGCTTCTTTAGAATTAGTGAATATCCATTTTTCTTCAGGTAACGCTTCGTTTTGTGTTTCAACAATTGTTCTGATGGCGCTGCCCACTAGTCYCGATCCACCAGTAACTAAAATTACTTTGGTCATTCTAAAAACAATATTATATTATATTATTAAGTATTTTATATCAGTCAAAAACCAACGATTAACTTTAACTTATCAAAACATTTCATAAGATGTGTAAAACATAATAATTAAGACGGGATCATATGTTAGAACACTTACGTGTACATTTTATATAATTATCAAATATCAATATTCAATTAGGGGCAGCTGGCTTTTTAGTATTGTGAATTTTAAAATTAATAAAMAGATTACGTGCATACTTTTGAATGGCATACAATTGTTTACTGTTTAGTGTTTATTGTCATTGTGAAGCTCAGTGCTTGTACACTTTACGAGAAGATAAATATTATTTAATAGTACCCATTTGATAGAGGCCCTGTTGGGTTAGTACTGCAACGTGGGCTATTACAAAAATTAAAAGTTTTGAAATGTAATAAATTATAATACTAAGAAAAATAATTTACTTACCAACTATGACATCTAATCATTCACAATCATTATGTTATGTATTTATTTGACGCTCATTCACAATATTGCAGATGAAAAATATATAATTCACCTTTTTGTGAATGATTATTAGTATGCGATGAAATATGAGAGAAATAATTTGTTTTAAATAATACAACATTATAAAATTATATAATTACATACCTACAATAATTATAAAATAAATAAGAAATAATAGATTTTTCAATTATTAAAACATTTGGTTGTTCAACACCGTCTAGTGTTGCATTTTGTGAAATGAGTGATTAAATAAAAATGTAATTTATTAATTAGTATAATAGTATATTATATATATATTTGATGTTATAAACATAAAATGTGATTTTTAATTTTAACTTGTTATTTTCTTTACTTATATAACTGAATAAACAAAATTTACATAAAATTATTTAATCAGTTAAGTTCCATTTAATTCTTAGTTCAATTCCTCTTACAATAATAATAATAATAATAATAATATATTTATTTCCCAACAATATGGTTTAACATTTAAAATATAAAGATACACTTACAGTAGTTGGTCACTTCCAAGCCGTTGGCTGTGTGGAAGTGGGAGTTCAACTTTAAATTAATATTAGTAAGTTATATACAAATATACAATAATACAATATTCTTATAATATATAAAAATAAAACAATTAAACAATACAAAGTTATGATTATGAATAGATATAATATTAAATATATATGATAAAATTGGATATAAAACAAAGTAGATGACAGTAATAAAGAGTATAAAGATGACTTATGCTAAGCTAAAATTATAAATTATGGCATTAATAGTTTTTTTTTAATTACCTATGTAAATAATAAAAGTTATGAGGGTTTATTTTGAACTTGATACAGAAATTTACAAATACATAGTCAGGTTTTGATTGATCTAAACTGGTTCTAATCTAGGAATTATTAAAATAGTATTTATCTTATAATGAGTAAAATGACTATGTATTGGTAGTAATATAGACAATATAGTAATTAGTAGGTATGTTTATGCTTAAACAATATCTTAGGTACATACATACAATAAATTAAGGGAATTAAGGTTAAATATTTCCAACTCATTGTGTAGAGAAATGGTGGGGAATAGTCTTGGTAAATTAAATAAATATCTAAATGGATTTAATGTGGTTTCAAGTTTATTGATATGTGCATGATATGCTGAACCCCAAAAAGCTATTGCATAAGCAAGAATATTGTACTTGTTAGCTACTATGAGTTGAACTGTAATATGTACTATTGAATTAACATGTTAATCAATATTAATGTTCAGTGAAACGTGTGTTCACAGAATTCATAATAGTTGTATGGAAGATGACTGCACTATAATAGTAATATTATAAAATTAACAAACAAAATATTCTTTTCAAATTTAAGTTTAAAAGTGAAAAAAAAGCGGGTAAGTGGGTATCACTCTGCTGTACATTAGGAGGTGGGGTGGACCTCTGATTAGGGTAGGTTAAATTTGAATGCAATGATATACGAAAAACGATTCTGATTTCTGAACGGAGACTGTTTATCTGTCTAGGATATATTATAGATTATTAAAAATTTTCAAATCTTAGATTTAAAAAGAAAATTTTTTATGAATTTCTAGCTTAAAAATAATTTGAACATTGTCGTAATATTTATGAATTAAGTCAATATTGAACTTCAAATGCTAACAAAAAAATAGTGCGTATGGCGACTGGAAGGGCGGGTAAGTGGCCATACCCACCCAGGCCCTCTAGACATTTTATGTTTGGGCCTCGAGCTATATTTATGTTATGTTTAATAATTTTTCAATTCCACACAGTAATCATTACCACGAAAACGAAGACTACAATAGGTGCTATTTACAAAAATTAAGTAACTGGAACAGTCAGACTGCTGCCGCGAAGGCTATGAAAGTTATTTTAGATTCATTTTTGGAATATGTGTAATTTATTAGTTTTTTAAAACAATAATAGTAATTAGTAGGTATTAAATGTAGTGTTTAAATTAAAAACAATAGATTTATTTTTGAATTTTTTTATTTTATTAGTATTGAAAAAGATTTAAGATTTAAATATTGAAGTAACTTGTTTTTTTATTATGTGGAACTTGGTTGTATAAAAAAATTTTTTTTATTCATTTTATTTTTATAATAAAGTTTAAAAATTTTAATATTGAAGTAATTTGTTTTATTTTATTATGTTAAATTTAGTTGAGTATAAACTTACAGAATTTTTTTCATTTTGCTATAAGTTCCTTAAAAAGTCATTTTATTTAAAATAAACATTGTAACATGAGTCTCTTGTCTGGTAGTTTTAAAACTTATATCCACCTGGGCCTTCAGGGCCTCAGTCCGCCACTGTGCGTATGTATTCTTATAATTTTTTAATAACTACAAGAATAACTTATGAGGAACTTTGTATTAAATTTTCAAGTATTTTGATAGGGCCAAAAAAATTTTATCAACACTTCGAAAGAAAATTTTCAGAAAAATTGAAAATTTCAGTTGTCTATAAATATCTCGAAAAAAGTCAAAATATTTTGAAAGTTAAATCATGTAAAAAAAATGCCAATCTAAATAACTGATAAAATTTCCAAGTATCTACGACTTATACTTTTTGAATAATAACAAATATTTAAAACTAAGCGAGTGTAAGATGATGCTCACGACTTGGATATAATATATTACTTATTTTAATTGTCAATTAATGGGCCAACTGATGTAAACCTCACTTTTTTAAATCCAAGGTTTTGATTGGAACTAATGATAGTTTTAATTTATGTCTATTTGTTTTGGATAATATTATAATAAAATATAACTTATGTTAAAATACAATGTTCTAATCGTACTTTATTGAATTTTTTTAAAAAGAGTTTTTAAACTAGTGACTACATATTGTTATGATATTGTAAATTTGTAACTAGGTTTATTGTTTTGATGAATCAAAGAATAAATACTAATGGTATGTAGATACAGATACGTGTCATAATATATCGTGTTTTATAACAATAAATTATTTTTAACACATTTAGTCGTATAGATACATAATATGCATACAAGTACTTTGTCCTGCCACTTTAAAATAAAAAGGTGTAATAAATGGCTTGATAACGCATATTTTTACAAACGCACTTAAGCAATTTAGCACTTAATTGCCCATAAAACTTTGTGAATATTATTCACCGGATAACCTACTGTGTACTAGCAACAGCAATATAGATATTATTATCATTATTACTATATTATCGACAACTCATTTCGAGTAAGCAAATAATAATAATTAAAATAACCATCATTTGAAAATAATCAGATATATACTTATAATATAAGTATTGCATTACCTATCCCTAATTTGTAATTAATTATTATTGTTATGACAATGTGCTGCATGATGTGAGCCATCGATTCGAGCTAATCAATTTCCAACATGATTTTAGTCAACAATATCATAGGTGTATGCACAATTTTTAAAATATTGAAATATTATTATGTGCCATTTCGGCTGTGTGCATTTACCATAGCACACTTCTATACGACTGTAGGTAATCAATAATCATACGATAATACGTACTTAATACTCGTATGCGCGTTTTTTACGCTGCTATACACACAATTGCAGTAGTAATGGCGTATTTACGGGAGGTGATATGAGTAATATATCACCCCCCAGAGCCTTGTATTACCCATTCTACAGCTTGTCCGAAACGGTCATTTTCAAGTTTTAAAAAGATTAAATCATATCTACGCAACACAATATCTGAAGTAATACTGCAATAACTTATGCATTTTGTGATATTTTATTTTTTCAATTTAGAAGAGGCTAAATGGTTTAGCAATGTTAAGCATTCATCGCGATATTGACATTAATGTAGACGAAGTGTTGAATGAAATGTCTCAAAAACCAAGACGAATGAATATTATTTTGTGATTTTTTTATGAAAATAAATGTATAATATAATAAAATGTTGGTATAGTTTTAAGTAACATCATGGTGACATGGCCTATACATATAGTGTACTTTACTGAAAGGTAAGATAACATAATGTGATCCTAGATATTTGTCCCTCTCGCGGCCTGTCCCTAATGTGCTAAATAATTTTGGTCATATTACCCCCTAGAAAAAAATCCTAGATACGCCACTGCGGACAGTACTAATGTGATTATATGCAGGGACGTACCTATAGTCTATACATAGAGTTACCTCTGCTTAAAATTTGGGACGAACATATTATCTAATATATTATTGTGTTATGCTATTATACGTATTATAGTTGTGCAATGACGAGGATTTTGATCATTATCGTACTCAAAATAATAAGTAATAACGACTCCATGTGCATATACAATTTATACACCTAATAAAATATCCTTACTTATTACTGATTATTATTATTATTGCGATTCATATTATACATTTATACATGAACATGTATGCTGGCGCACGTAAGCATATTATACGATAATAATATAATATCATTTTCGTACACGTGTATTCGTAATTTTGCAAAAATCAAACCTTGAAAATGAATGCAGGTGCCTACCTATAACATTATGTTCAAATACACACATCGTGCGTATAATAATTGTACATTATTATACTATTATTGTATGACCAGTTGTAGAGCTTGAAGAGCATGGAGCAAGGAATTATTGAGCATTATGCCGGATCCACACAGAGACGACAAAAGTAAAACAAAACAAAAACTCTGTGTTTTWCGACAAAATCAAAAMATKTTTAAAACAATTTTGTTTTTTCCAACAAATTGTTCGTGTTTTGAAAAACAAAGTCGTGT